TTTAATGTACCAGGGGGGATGGAACTTGGGACCTTATACTTGTGAGGCAGACAGGGGCACCACTGAGCTAAATCCCCGGCCCCTCTGCGGGTTTTTTTTGGGTTTTTTTTTTTGGTGTGGGGGATTGAACTTGGGACCTTGTGGTTGTGAGGCAGGCCCCGGAACCACTGAGCTAAATCCCCAGCCTCCCTCTGCCCATTTTTAATTGAATTACTTGTCTTTTTTATTATGTGTTCTGGAAGTTCCTTACACATTTTTTTATGTGTACAAATCCTTTATAAGATATGATCTGCAAAAATTTCCCCTTTCTGTGTGTTGTCTTCTCACTGTCTTGATGTCTCTTGAAACGAACTTTAATTTTGATGAAGTCGTTACCTATTTTTTTTTCTTGTTACTTGTGCTTTTATTATCCTAAGAAACTATTGCATAAGCCAGGATCACAAAGATTTGATCCTGTTTCCATTCTAAGAGTATTAGAGTTTTAGCACTTCCGTTTAGGCCTGTGACCCACTTTGAGTTCATGTCTGTGTCTGATGGGAGTACAAGTCCTACTTGATTGATTTGTGTCAATTACCAGGTTGTCCTGTCACTGTTGGCTGGAGAGACTCTTTCCTTGGTCAAACTGGCTCACCACCCTTGGGAAAATCAGTAGGCTGTAAATGCTACTCTCTGTACTCTGTCCCATCGATCTCTATGTCCAGCCTATGCCAGCACTGCTGGTATTGATTATTGTAGCGCTGTAGTAAGTTTTGAAAACGGAAAGTGTAGGTCTTCTACTTTGTTCCTCATTTTTCAAGGCTATCTTGACTATTCTGGATCCTTTGAGTTATTGGTGGAGTTTCTTTTATAAATAAAATGGTCCTAACTTTTAATGTCCCTGTGGGAAGCAAGCAGCATGTGGGCAGCAGAAGAGTGGCGTCCCCTGGCCTGGTGGTCTCCCCCTTTGGCTTTCCACTGTTGACTGTCCGTGTACCCACCCCACCCTGCCCACAGATTTGGGTGTTCTCACCCGGATGAGCAGTGCAGGTGGCACAGCATGTCCAAACAGGGCACTTCTCTGGGGGAAGCTGCTTCTGCTTCCCACCACACTACATCCTTCTGCACGTAGCAATGGTTTTCACTGCGAGGGACCGCGCTTGCAAATTTTACCCACATTTCTCAGGGTGAAGAGCCACAGAGCAAACCCAAAGGCAGAGTTCATAGCTATTGGTCACTGGCAGGCCCTGGCACCTGTGTGTCGCTGCACAGAGCAGTGTCTGTCATGCCTGCGGGAGGCCGTGGGGCAGGGCTTGGGAAGTGTCTCTGTGATTCTCAGGCCTGGGATCTCTGCAGTATTCAAGTCATTCTTTCTCTGTAATGCTAATCTGTGAGGGTGGGAAGAAAAGTTTGTCTCACTGCATTCCTTTTTTGTTTTTCAGGATATATACTCAAAGACTATATCTTTATGGTCTTGTATCAATAGCCAGCTAGATGAATTTTCTAATCCCTTCTTCGTGAATTATGAAAACCACGTCTTATATCCCGTTGCTAGTCTGAGTCATTTGGAGTTATGGGCAAACTATTACGTACGATGGAACCCACGGATGAGACCACAGGTATCTTTTTGCTTTTCTTCCTTCCATGAGAGTGGGTCTTTCTTTCCAAGCAAGGACGGCATTCTAGACGCATGCTCGTCAGGCATGCACTAACGGAAGGTCCCTGCCTGACCATGGCTCCACCCTGCACGCACCTTGCTGCCTGGAGGTGTGGTGAGGGGAGCTGAACCTGCGAGCTGCTATGCCCAGGGAGTTGATGGAGAGGCAGGGACAGACAGACAGCATGTGCTGTCACAGAGCAGGCGCCTTTGAGGAAGGGTCACTCTGGCCCTGCTGTACTAGTTCATGCTAACTTTTTCTAGATTGCCGAAACCCAGAGAGCAGTACACAGTGGGGCCGCCAGCCAGGCCTGTGCCCACCATGTGGGTTCAGGCCTGAGCTCCAGCTGGGGCTTAGGCGCCACACTTGGGGTTCCTGGACTGAGACTTGACTCGGCCCCGCTCCCCACCCATCTCCTCCACGTGGGTAGGAGAAGGCAGATGGAGGCAGCCCTCACTGCCCTGGCTGTCACTGTCATTGTGTAGCATCACTGCTTCCTCCAGCTGAGGAGATGGAAGCCGCCTTTACTCTCCACCCTCACACCTGGGGTCTTCATGGCTTGGCTCAGCTCCAGCCTGCCCATCGGGATGTCCAAACTGATCCCTTTCCTTCTTGGTGGCCAGCACCAAATTCTGCAGCATGTGGTCCCTTCCCTAACCCTCCCTCCAGCTGGAACGGACACTCACTGTGGACTCGAGGCAAGGCAGGCTCCCTGTGACCCCTGCACCCTGCTGCCCCGGCAGCTGCCTCCAGCTCCTTCCGTGCTGCTTTGCCCTAGACCATGCCCAAATGTGGCCCATTTGCCGTCTTTCACCGTGCAGCTCTCCCACTTGCATCTGTGTGGTCCTGCCTCCCTTAGGGTCCCAAGCACTCTCTGAGCCAGGCCTCTCGCTCCCCAGTGCCTGCACCCCTGTCCCTCTCCTGCAGAAGTGGAGGTGCCCAGTGGCCTGGGACCTACCCCTAAGCCTCTTGGTCAGCCACTCTGTCAGCCAGCGAGCCCCTCCAGCGCCCCTCCTCCCACCTCGGCCCTGGGCTCTTTGCCTCCTGTGTTTGAGCAGCAGGGTGATGGGCTGTAGAGTGTCAGAATGTCACGGTTTTCTTAAAGTCATGTAGAAAGAGTTACTAAGTGCTCTTGGGGACCCAGGACAGAAAGTGGGGGGACCACTTAAAACTAGCAAAAACCCAGCTGGACTGCTGTGGACTAGGTGCCTTTGGTTAGATAGGGCTTCCTGTACTGCAGGAGCCAGGCCCTGCCCCATGCCAGACTCCAAGGAATGTTCCTTCCGCGCACCGGCTACCTCTGCTGGTGTGCAGGACTGCCAGCCTTGATCTCGTTGAGACCTCCAAGGGTGCGCGTGTAACACAAAGCCATCAGGGTGCCTGGCACCGTGCTGGGAGAGTGCTCCTTCCTACCCCATCTCCATAGAAGGGAGAACTAGCCAGGCCACAGCCACAGCTTGGTGCCCTACCTGTAGCAAGCACGCATGGGCCAGCTCCTAGGTGAGGGGTCCTTGGAGCAGAGCGGACTGGGGCTTGGTGGCAGGGCACACTGGAGAGGCTAGCGGGCATGTGCAGACAGGTCAAGCGGGGGAAGGAGCTGTGGGGACAGTAGCAAGGACAGAGGTGCAGGAGTGGCGGGCTGGCAGGGGTGCAGCAACCTAGGGCAGAAGAGCGAGTCACAGCAGGAAAGGCCCCATCCCTCTGAAAAGGCATGGCCGGGGCAATAGCCTTCCTTCGAGCCCTCCTGCCTTGGGGCTGGCACACGGCATCCAAGGGGTGGTGTGACTGGCCTGTCTCGGGGTTTTTCCCACGCAGTCCTTGTCAAACCTTGGGGTTTTTTATCGCTCTGCCAGGCCTGTGCTTAGTTGTAGATGAAGCTGATCATTGGGAAAAGAGAAAAAGCTGTGCAGCAAAGGAAGGTGGCAGCAGTGCGCTTCAGCAGCACTGGGTCCTGAGCAAGCCTGGACACATATGTGCTCCACAGTGGTGACAGGCTGCACCCGGACGGTCCCCATCCCGTAGACCAGGGTCCACCTGGCAGACAGAGCCTAGGCTAGAAGGGAGCTAGGGCTGCCTCACGGGCCTCAAGGATCAACTTTTGCTACCAGCCCTGCCGCTGCCTGCCCTTCCTTCATCCTGTGGACCTTCCAGGCCTGTTCCCATGCCCCTCCATGCCCCCCATCCCTCTCCCACCTTCAGGAGGGGAGGGTGGCAGGACCTGGAAAGCCAGGGAGAGCAGGGAGTGACTCTCAGGCTAAGGGCCGGAGCCCGTCACACTGCAAATCACACAGTTGGGCTGTGCACAAGACACATGGCGGGGGCCTCCCCAGATCCCACCCTGGACCGCCATCATACTCTGCCCCGCCCGGGTGAGCCCTCTGCCAGCAAGTGCCCAGCCATCTTGCTGGCCTGGTGTCATTGCAGGCTGTGCGGGTGAGAGAGAGCAGGTCACTGGGACAGCAGCAGCAAGGCTGAGTGGAGGGAGGGCCGGTGCCCCACCTGCGCCCACTGACAGCAGAGGCAGCTCCTGGCGGGAGAGAGTGCTCCTTCACCATGTGGGTTTCACTGAGTGGAGCGACTTAGGACGCTGCTGCACAGACACTGCAGCGCCAACGGAGCTGGGGGTACCCGCACCAGGAGCCAGGGAGGAGCTGCAGAGCAGTCTGGGGGCAGCTGAAGCTCCCAGCTCGTGGGGATGGTATCACTGTGCACAGGGCGGCGGACCGGCTGGTGGGCGGGAGCCACAGGCGCACGGGCATCCCAGCAGGGCCGAGGGCCTAGGCGCACCCCCAGGACAGCCACTAACGCAGCCCTGTCTCTGCTCCCGCAGACGCCGATCCACCAGAATCTCAAGGAGCTGCTGGCTGTCAGGGCCGAGCTGCAGAAGCGGGTGGAGGACCTGCAGCAGGAGGTGGCCACACGCACTGTCTCGTCATCCTCTGAGCGGGGCTCCTCACCCTCGCACTCTGCCACTCCTGTCCATACCTCAGTCTGACAGGAGAGGCACTGTCTCGGGCCACCCTGCCACTCCACGTCTCCCTGGGGGCCCGGGACCTGCCTGCAGCTATTATGGCGAGGCTTCTGATGTGTCTTCTGACAGGAGGCCCAGGGACCGTCTGTGTGGCCAGGCAACAGCCCCCACCTTGGGCGAGTGCTCTCTGTCTGTGAATGGCCTGTTACCCTGTGACCCACCCTCCTCCTTCGGACATCTCATGCCATTGCCATCCAAGGTCACCCTCTGTCAGAAGCAAGTCTCGCCAGCCGCGGGGCTCCTTTAGTGCTTTGCCGCGACTTGAAGACTGATCTTCAGTGAAGTGTTCCGGAGAAACAGCCATTGCCATGCAGTTTCCAGTTTCTGTCATGCAGGGGTTCTCCTTGCCAGTTCCCACTGTGTACATATAAGGTATTTTTTAAAGAGAAAAACAGGTCTTTATTTTCCTATGTCCTTTTTTATGTTTAGCATAGTCATCAACCAGCAAAGGTGTCTGCTTCCTGTTCCGTGAGAGGAAGTCTTTCCGCTCGCCCTGCTGACCTCCGGCACGTGTGAAATGAGACTTAGGACACCGTCACCTCCGTGCCAGCGTCTCACTGTCCTCAGCCTAGCTCTGGTACTTGCCTCCTGAGGTGGCCCTGTCCACTGGTAGGCGTGCTCAGTGTGGGCCCTGCTGCAGGTAAGCTGAGGCGTGAGCAGCTTTGTGCAGGTGCCTGTCCTATGCCTGGGCAGAATGGTGTTTCTCAGTCATCACAGCCCCTCACCTGGGTGTACCCGCGTGGCTGCCTGTCCCCATCTCACAGCAGCTGTGGGCCATGGCAGTGGGAGAGCTCAGCGCGCTCGCCACCTCAGGGCTGCTAGGCTCTGGGTTCTGCACTGCACTGCACTGCCATGGTCCCTCGAGACTGAATTTGCATGCACTCTGGGCCTGTGAGGTTCCCCCTGCCCCCCGCCATGCCAGGCCCATCTCTGCAGGTCACTGAAACGCCACCAGGCACAGGGCGAGGTCAGCTGCCTCAAGCTCGCAGGGTCCCGGGACATGTGTGTCCACGTCACTGCCTCGGTTCAGCTCAGGTTCTGGGTGCCACGCAAAGTCCTACATGTTATTTTTGAAAACAGATGGTTGAGAAAAGTTTTCTGTGTTCAAATACACAGAGAATAAAAGTTATTTCAACTTGGAACCTTCCAATTCTTACAGAAAAATCCCCTTGTACAAACTACCAGAAATATTTATTTCAAGGTCACTTGGCAACCTAAAATCAATTGTTCCTGTTTATCAAGTGAGGATTTGTCTCCGAGCGAGCTGCACTGCAAGGGATGCTAACTATGGCTCTGGGTCCGCCCACCCCCGCTGCTCACCGATTGTTTACGAGAGGCGCCCTTGTTCCACTGCACGCATCACTTCCTGCTCTGTGCAGTGTGGATGGGGCGACAGCATGACAGACCCGAGGCTAAGGGTCGCTCCCTGGCAAGGTGGGCCTGCAGCACGGATGGGTGAGGCGGCCCCGGGCACCCTGGCCCTAAACTCCCACTTGGTTTGAAGCAGCACAGGAGAACGCTGCCCTCGGTGTATTCCACGCACAGAACTGTCTCCAGACCAACTGGAAGGCGAGTTTTTTATCTGAGCTATTCTCTTAACGTAAATGTACTAGAATGTAAAACCTGTACGGCTTGGGGTTTTAAAACTGGTACAATACGTACTTCCTCATCTGATGCACTGTCTTCTGTCTGCATTAAAATGATGTTTGCTCCCTAGTCTTCTGGTTGTCGCTCTCTCAGATGTTCCCATGGGCTTTCCCTTGGGGGAAATGGGTAACGACAGGGTGACACGACCACAGTGCACATCTCCAGTGCCTGTGTGTGACTTCAGACCTCACATGCCATTTGTCACGAGTCTCGAGAGTAGTGGCTGGAATGAGGGAGTGCTGATTTGCAAACCTTACAGGCCCAGCCTGTCACCCGGAGGAAATCCCAGGGACCCGGGGAAGGATGGGCCCCGTGAGGCATGGCAGCAGGCCCTCCGAGTCTTCGGGACACTGTGCTTGTTCCACCCTTCTCACGTGGGCCTGGGGTCCCAGACCCTCTCCCTGCAACTTGCTGGAGTGAGCAGCAGGGCCGCCTGCTGGGCCATCACTGGGCGTGCTGGAAAACCCATAGTCAGCACCCCAGGCCCCAGACCACACGGCTGGTGAGCCCAGCGGGCTGACACGTCCAGGGTCTGCTCCCCAGCACGCCGACTCCACCCCAGTGGCAGGTGCAGGTGCCCGGAAGGACTGCCTGGCCGAGTGGCCCCCAAGGCCATCTGCCCCCCTCCAGGTGTCCTGTGTGCATCCCTGCAAGAACTGCAGCCTCCTGGGGACACCTCTGGCAGGTCAGCCACGCCCAGAACCTGCTGCAGGAGGGGATGGTGCCTGGGGATAGGAGGTGCCCGCACACCATGGAACACAGGAGTCCGGTCTGGTTCTGTTTTGTTTAATGCAGACACTGGACAGTTTACAGTTCACATGTGGACATGAGCACAGATGAGGATGGACAGGGGTCAGAGGTCGGTCTCCAGCATGTCTTCCTTGCAGAGCTGGGCCTGCCCACACCCGAGGGTGCTTCCCTACCAGGTACCCTCAGCCTCTCATGCGGCCAAAGCTGCCGGGTGTCCCCCCTGCGGGTGGCTGGCAGAGATGGGACCTTCCGGCCGGCCCTTCTGGTTTCCTCCCTCTCCTCCCACCTGGGACAGGCCCACACCGGCCAAGGAACCTTCAGGTAGACACAGTTAGGAGAGGAGCCCGCCAGGCTTGTGTCAGCCACAGCGCCCGAGCAAGTGTAAGGTGACAGCGGAAGAAGAGCCCCTGGGATGAGACTGCGATCAGGAGGCTGAGGGGTGGCCCGGGCCTGTCCAGGTGTCTGGAGCGAGCGCCCACGGGGCCAAGTGATGGGTTTTATGCAGAAGGGCTTTATGCAGAAGGCACCAAGGTAGCTAAAGGAGAAAAAAGTGGGCTGCTTTCAGTGCTACCCAGAAAAACATTTTTGCAAAGAGCATTTATTTTACAGACGGCTGCAGGCTCCCAAGGCCTCTGCCAGCGGACAGGCCTCACGGGAAGTGAGGCAGCCCCGCCCCACTATCTAGGTGCCATCAGGCCCCAGCTGCAGAACCCTCCACACCACGTCCAGGCTGGCACTGGCCGTCGGCTTTGGCGCCCTTGGTGTCCAGACACAAAGCTGACCACACTGACCACATTCTGGCCTGAGGAACAGGCCAGTCCTGCAATGCAACTCAGCTCCTGGAAGATGGGGCTTCTTGGGCCACATGTGCCCTCCTCATGGCGCCGCAGCCCTTTCAGACCCAAAGTCTGGGATCTCAGTCCCCCCAGAGAGACGGCAGTGACCCGATGGCCTCCACCATAGGGGCTTTAAAACCACGAACACACACGCACACACACACTAGGCATGCAGTACACACCACGTGGGGGCTGTTTGGATTTCATTGATTTCCTTTGAAAAAAAATAAGGGAGTTGCCTCATCCCAGCGCGGAGGATGATGGGAAGGAGCCACCCCACCCCGGCCTGTGTGGCATGTGGGGAGTCGTGCAGTCTGGAGCGGCAGTGAGCAGTGACACATCCTACGTTCGCAAGCACTTCTTGACACACTGGAAACTGATATTGGCACATGGGGGCCTCCTTTGGAGCCAGCTGTGCTCCTGCCCAAGCCAGGTGGCACCGGGCCAGCTTGGGGGCCAGCCCTAGGTCCCCAGCACGTTTCATCAGCACTAGAGGACGACTGCAGGTCTACATAGGTGGCAGCGTCCACACCTAGGCCGGCGACGGGAAACCTGGAATTGGGAAGAAAGCCCACAAGGAAACCCACCCTGGGCGTGAAGCTGGCACTGAGGACCGCAGCCAGTCCGGAGTGCAGGCTGTTGTTCGGCACTCGGCACCACCCACCGTCTCTGCGTCCTCTGGCCCACCCTGCCTCTCTCCACCCCCAGTCCCCAGGCTAGGGCCTGGGCCGGCTGGCTCCATTCAGGGTCCAAGGCCCGGCAGATCCAAGGCTGGTGCTGGCTGTCCACCAGGCCGGGCAGGGCTGGGTCGAGTCAGCACCAAGTCTCTTCACAGAACCGTGCGAGGCGGGCGTGGGGACCACACTCACGGACACACAAAGCTTGTCTGGAAAACTGAGAGCGACAGGAAGCCAATGACACAAGGAGTACAGCACAGCGGCTGAGGGGCCGTGGGAAGTCAGCGGTCACAAGCGGTGGCGCCCTCCGTGCGCGGCTGCAGCTGAGCTGGGCTCAGATGCGGGGTGGCTCAGGTGGCGGCGGCTCCGAGGCCTGCGTCTGCAGCGCCGAGTACTTGACTGCGGGGAGAGCACAGCCATTAGCGGGACAGACCTGGCGGGGCAGCCACCCCAAGTCACGGATGCAGGGTTCTGGAGGCCCAGGGAAGGCAGGAGGCAGGCAGCAGTGGCTCTTCGAGGGCTCGGCCCCTCTCCTCACCTGGAAAACGGGGGTCTCCTGCAGCGCCCCCAGAGCGCTGAAACTGGGAAAGACTGAACACTGACCACCCGGGGGCTTTATTTGGGGGCCTAATGTTTTCCAGGGTTTTTATATATTCTAGATAGTAGTCCTCTAGCTGAGGTGTAGCTGGCAAAATGTTTTTCCAGTTCTGTCGGTTGTCTGCTCACTCTGTTGAATGTCTCCTTTGCTGGGGAGAAGCGTTTTAATTTGATTTGATCCCGTTTGTGGATTCTTGGTATTATCTTTTGTGCAACCAGGGGTTCTGTTTCGAAAGCCCTCACCTACACCTACGGCTTCCAGTGTTTTACCTATTTTAGCATCCAACAGATTGCACATACTGGGAGAATATGCACTGCTGATCTTTCTGAGTCTGGCTTATTCTTCTCAACATGACAATCTCCAGAGCCACCATTTTCCTGCACGTGACAGGATGCACTCTTCCTTCATGCCTGAGCAGTATTCCATGGGGTGTCTAAGCCACAGTTTCTTTATCCGGTCACCAGTGCTGGGCACTTGGTTGGTTCTGTATCTTGGCTATTAGGAATTGTGTATAAATCTGCCAGAGTAGCACCCATGCATGCGTACAGGCAATACACACTCTGGAGAAACTTGGGAAGAAATAAAACAGTGAGGGAAGAAAAGGGGCAGGCGAGAGGCAGGGGCGGGAGGCATTCCTGGCATTCTCTGTCCCAGCACCTGGGATGTGCCCACTGCTGCTCTACAGTGGAGGCAGAGGCTGGGCCACACCAGAGCCCTGAGCCAGGGGTGCCTGTTGCTCACCTTGTGGCTCCTCGCTCACCACAGACTCCAGGTTCTCCCCCTTCACGTAGTCCGCGTTTAGCCCCTCTGCAAGGGTGAGGACAGAGTCAGTGGCAGGCACAGGGCCAGCAGAGCCTGCTACCCTGACCCCTGTGCCCAGGCCACTTGGGGTCCCTGATCATAGTCAAGCTGTCCTGGTACCGCTCTGCCCAGGGGTCACACCACTGTCACCGAAAGTAACAATGTCATGTGTCAAAGGGCACTGTCGCCCCACCCCTGTACAACAGCTGTGCCATGTCAAGATGGTAGCTCCCCCCAGCAGATGGGATGAGAGGGGACCTGTGGCGTGGGGCTGGGGAGGAACAGGCAGTGACAATGGAGGCAGGCAGGGAGGGGCAGATGGCGATGGAGTCACCATGGAAACACCTGCATCCTCTTGTCCACGAGTGGCCTGCCTGGCAGCACCACACAGGGCCAAGGGGCTTCTCCTGGTGGCAGGGGCCACCCCCTCCCTGGGCTCGCAGGGCCCAGGGCTGGGCGACAGCCGCTCCAGTCTGGCAGTGACCAAGGACAATCTGGGCCTCGCTGAAGCGCCCTCCTCGCCCCAGCCACGGCCGTCACCCACTCAGGGACCCGGAGACGCCCAGCCCAGCTGCTGCTCCAGGAGGGCCACGGGCTGTGTCTCCGCCCTGGGTCGGCCCGCTGGGCACCGGCACAGTCACTGTGCCATCCAGGCCGCAGGGCCCCGCTTGCCCCGGTAGCTGCTGGCGCCCACACCCACACACCGTCCCGACCCGCCACTCTGGGGGCAAGCTCGGGAGGGAGACGGTCACAGCCAGGATGAGCGTGCTGGGGAGGGCGGCGGGAGCGATGGGAGCGGAGCGGCGGGATGTGGGGTCTGAGGCCAAAGGGAGGGGGACCGCGAGAGCGTGTCGCGCGTTACCTTGACCTTCTGCTGCGTCTGAAGGCAAGACACGGAGCTTAGAACCCAGGGGGCCCGGCCGGCGACAGCGCTCCCGGGCTTTGTGAGCGCGCTGACCCTGGCACCGAGGGCCCCTGACGCGCGGGCCACTCGGAGTTAGCACAGGCCGCAGGCACCCGAGAGTCACGGCGACGGGGCGGTCCTCGCCCGCCATCCCCGGGGTCCTCCCTGGTCTGCACGCACCGGCGCAGAAACTGGGGATCAGGCTGTCCCCGCGTCTTCCCAGGCTAGCCACCACTGACGCCCCTGGGACCCTCCTCATCCCGGCCGGGGTTCGGTGCCAGGGTCGTGGGGCACACGGAGCACAAGGTCCCCGAGGACTCAGCACGCCCGAGGAGGCAGGGGTTGGGGTGCGGCGCAGGCGGCAGGGGGCGCTGAGGCCGCGCGCAGAAGCTGGCGGAAGTCTTGGGCGGGGGCGGGGCGGGGCTGGGCCGGGCCAGGGAGGCGAGAAGCCCTGGGGCCAGGGAGGAAGCCGTGGGACCCAGCAGGGAGGCAGGGGCGTGGCTAAAGGGGAGACATCGGGGATGCGGGCAGGGGGCGTAGGGGCAGGGTCCCTGGGAGCCGGCTGGCACCCCGCCACCCCTGCTAGCTGCCACCTGTTTACCGCGGGAGTCGGTGTGGCAAAAGCCCACCTCACCCCGGCCAGGCGCCCGCAGAGGTCCACGGGTCAATCGGGGTGTCCGCTCCCCGCCCCAGCCCAGATCTCGTTTGTCACGTGATCTGTGCAGGGCAGGGGGTCAGATGAGGGCCCTGTCTGTCCAGCTGGCGCCCCCTCAGCCACCTGCCACCCTGGGCCTGCAAGACGGAGGGCCACGGCCTGGACCGGCTTGTGGCTGCTGTAGGCCTTGGCGCCTTCCTCTCCATGACCGCCCATTCTGCCCTTGTGGGGACACTGCACATGCCCCTCCGCCACGCAGGGTCGAGGCACAACTGGGAGGTGGCTCGGTCAGGCTCTCCCAGACCTGGCTGGCAGTGGGGCCAGGTGCCACCCTGGCCTCAGGGGCAGGAAGCCCTGTGGCTCAGGAAGCCAAGCAGAGGCTGAAGCAACAGAGCCACACAGAGCCACTGGAAGCCAGGGCAGCAAGAAAGGCAGCTCCCCGAGAGCAAGGGCAGGCAGGATGGACAGTGGCCCTGGGGACCCTTTGCTGGCAGATGCGGACCTCGAGACAGAGGTGCTTCTTTCATGTGGCAGCCACAGGAACCTGGGACAACTGTGCATTGGGGCAGACTTCTGGGGCAACCCCAGAGGCTTAGATTAGGGGACTTTCCGGATGGCCAGGGCCAGGCCCAGGGCAGCAGGACCTCTTCTGAGACAGGGTCTCACTACGCTGGCCTTGACCTCATGGTGACCCTCCTGGCTCAGCCTCCCCAGCAAGCACTGGGACACCACGCCCAGCAATTTTCCCACCACTTTGCTGCTCACTCTGGCCACAGCCTAAAGCCTGGCAGGTGGTCGGGGGGGGGGCGAAAGGAAGGCAGCGCAAGTCTGCTCCTGCAGTCCTGCTCCTTAGGCTGGTTCCTGACTCCCCGGAACTTAAACTATAGGCTCAAGGGGAAGAGAGGCCCTGGCTTTCGGGACAAGGAGTTGCTGAGCAGAGTCCCCAGTGGTCTTCTCCCCTTTCGGTGAGATCAGAGGCCACAGGGACATCTCAGTGTCCTCCTGGTCTATAGTCACTGAGCCCTGTCCCCACATGGCCTCTAGTAGCCAGGGCCGGGAAGGTCAGGGTGGCCTGGCCCAGTGCCCAGCTGCCCTCCTCCCGAGGGCACTCACGCTGGATGCTGAAGCAGAACTTCTTCTGCTGGTAGGAGATGTAGCTTGACACGGCGCCGATGAGAGCCATGGCCAGGGCGCTGGCCACGCCGGCGATGGTGCCCGTCTCCGCAGACATGCCTGGCCCGGGAGGACGGGTGTGGGTTCAGGCCCAGGACCAGACTGCTTGGAAGTCTGCCTCCCCCGCCCATACCCATCCTCGGGACAGGCAACACCGCCCCTCGGGGCTGCCAAGTGCCTCCAGTCTCCGGGAGAGGCTTCCTCTTTGAGAAGCACAAAGGCAGACACAACGGTGCTGTCCCATCTGCGACAGGCTCCCCGAAAGGCCGCCTGGCCCCCCATCCCTGTGGCCTCCGCCGCTGGCCTCGGGACTGCGGGGACCATGCTCCTCTCAACAGCAAGCTCACTGCGTGGACACCCACCGGCTCCAGGGTCGTCACTGCCACCATAGCCACCATCACCTGGAGGGGACAAAAGCACTTGGTACCCGCTGGGACCCCAGACTAGCCAGTTCAGGGCCCAGCGAAGCAGGCAGCAGACTTCTGCCAGATTGCAACAAGGGCCTGCTTTTGGTTTTTCTTATTGTTTTGCTTTGCTTTTTTGAGCCAGCGTCTCACTATGTAGTTCAGGCTGGCCTGGAACTCACAGAGACTCCTCCTGCCTCAGCCTCCTGAGCGCTGGGATGACAGGCATGCGCCACCACACTGGGCTACAAGTCCTGCTTTCTTGTGCCTACTGCCGGTGTCAGGCTGCTTACTTCTGGGCCGTGGGAAGGGCCCTTGTGCGGCTGAGGCAGGAGTGTCACCGGTTCTCGCCCAGTGTGGGCAACTCGGCAACTCAGCAACTCAGCAACGCTCTGGCTCAAACTTTTTAGAACATTCTGGATATGTAGCTCAGTGTGAAGGCCCTGGGTTCAGTCCTTAGCACCACACACACACACTAAAAAGAGTCGTGAAGAGAAAGTGAGGTTTCTTTTGTTCCCACCTGGGGCCGATGCCTTGCCTTCAAAGCACTGCAGAGCTCCTGATGGCTGGCAAGGAAAGCTGGCCAAAGCAGAGCTGGAAGGGGACACTGCCTGGAGGTGCCCGCTGTCAGGGCAGGGATGCATCCCTGGGGCTCCTCTGCGAGGTGTTTCATCACTAGATTTCCAAGGTTGGACTCCAAGTGACCCATGCTCTGCTTTCTTAACCTCTGGGCAAAAGGCAGCTGGATGTCCCCAGGTCTCCACTCTGACCAACATGTGGCTCCAAGGGTCCCCAGTAACTGGGACGGTGGACTGGATTCTCCCAGCCTATGGGCAAGGGGTCCAGTGCAGCCGGAGAATGGTGGGAGGAAAGAAGCCCTCCTTCGGTCTGATGTCACGGGCTGACCAGCCGTCGGCCAAGGCCATGGCTTGTCCCTGTTCAGCTGCCCAGTGCTGCTCTTTCTTTCCCCATAGGATGCACATGGCCGAGTGACAAGTCACTGGCCTCAAATGAGGCCATCCCATGCAGTACCACCCTGGGAAATGAGCTCCCATGAGAAAGAAAATGAATGAAGCCCAAAAGCACAAGAAGACATTTCAGGACATGTATATTACAACTGTAAATGCGATCCTAAAGCCACGAACCCCAAATGGAAAAGACTGTTAACAGAAGCCAAGCTTCAGCAGGATAAAGCACAAGCTACAAAAGAAAAAAAAGGATAAATTGAGTTTTGTCAAAGTTAAAAACTTCTGCGTTTCAAAGGACAGCATCAGGAAAGTGAAATGCCGACCCACAGAAGGGGGAAAGTGCTGGCAAATGACCTCTCTGCTGAGGGACTAGTGTTGAGAAAACGAAAGCTTTCTGGGTGGGAGAGGGAAGAACAAGGAATGACGATGTGCGAGAGGAATGGGAGCACTGGGCACCGCACACATGCCCGGGTACAGAGAGGGGAAAAGGCGAAGACAAAGGGCCTGAAGGCCAGAGAGACACATGCAGAGGCGCCAGGCTGTCATCAGAGAAAGGCGATGGAGAGCGAAGTGCCGCAGAGGGAGCAGAGAGGCAGCGCGGAAAGGAGAGGAAAAGCTGCTGCCGGGGACTCTGCGGGACAGTCTGGTGGCCCCTCACTCGCCACGGTGGACATGCTACAGTTTGGATGTGTTTGCGGGCGGAGCCCCTCGGAGGGGCTTAGGGCCCACGAGGGCTGGGCTTCATGGGAAGAGGGACAGAGACGGGAGGCAGCTCGACTGTGGTACCCTCTGTCATGCCCTGGCCCAGCCGGGCAGGGCACCGAGCAGGCCTGGCCCCACATCCGAGGACTTCGTGAAGCCCATTCTTTACAGACATTCAATCTGAAAACAGGCCGGGCCGCAGACGACCAACAATGGCCGCATATACAGCTGCACACGACTGTCCTTAGCAGCCCCATTCGTAAATGCTAGAAAGTGGAAACAAAGGTAAAACGAACCCTGACCAATCAGAATATGCCGAGCATCTAAGAAGACACAGAGAAAGCATTTTGCCTCCTTTGGATTCGAAGAGATCTGTGAAGATCACAGAATGATGGCCCCAGAGGAGGTGGGGGACCCTGCACTCTCATCTGCCGGCCGGGAATCTCTGGCCTTGCACCTGGGACACGCTGGTGTTTGTCAGCGCATCACGCACGGCAGAGCTAGGAGGTAGGTCTAGTAGAGAAAGGCCGGTGGGAGTGTGGAGCGCACTCTCCAGCCACTGAAAATGTTCAAGGTATGACTGAATAAAACCTGGTTTTAAAAGGATAGCATACTCTTTTTATTTCTTAAAAGACAACTACGAATATAAAAGGGTCTTTAGTTGCACTATCGTGGTTGCCTCAATGTCCTGAATCGATTTTAAAACATTTCCCTTCCATGGGGCCAGGTCTGCTGAATCAGGAGGACATTTTCTGTTTGTCTCGTTTTTTTTTTTTTTGGTACCGGGGATCGAACTTGGGACCTTATGCTTGCGAAGCAGGCAGCAGAACCACTGAGCTAAATCCCCGGCCCAGGAGGACAGTTTTAAAAGCCCGCCTTCCCATGTGTGACCCTGGGCCACAACATTCACCGAATTTTTTATCGCACCTTGTAAAGACAGGAAGGACTCTAGAGCTGCTGCAGAAAAGGGGAAGAGTGATGCAGAAGTAAACGAGTGGGAATTCACGGAAATGTGTCTTTTACTGTAATAATTTTTTTAAATGTTAACATTCACTGTGTTGTTTCATCACCCCTGTATGGCTCTGCATAGAAAAAGTACCCCAGGAACATACTCCAGAGTGTTACTGGTGACTCTTCTTAGGCAGTGAAGCAATGAACATGCAAGATCTGTCCACTTCGCCTTCCCCCAGGAGGTGGCCCTGGCTCTGTACCGCAGCTGCCTTTAGAGTGCACACTCTGTGCCAAGGACCCTGCTGTGACCACAGTACCGGCACAACCACTGGGGCTGCCCCTAGCAGGCCCGGGGCAAGGGGACTCTGCAGCTATGGCAACCACCACTTCATAGGAACCGGTAGCCATGGTGAGCACCATCACTATAGAAACTCGGTGGGCCCAGGGAGAGGTGTGTCCCACAGTGCACGGTGAGATCTGACGGCCACCAGGAAATGTGACCAGATTGGGCACTGTGAGGGTGGGTGGTGGATGGGAGAGCAGCCCCATGTTCCGGCTCCTCCGCTCCAGGCTTCGCTGTCAAGGGGTGACGCTGTGGCACGAGGCCTTCGTCACCCACAGCTGCTGGGCTCGGCTCTCCAGCCTCAGTGAACTTCTCTCCTTTGTTAGTCACCCAGGCTCAGGGACGCTGGCAGAGAACAGAACCGGAGTGCGGCATTGTGCGTCAGCCTGAGCGAGGACATGCCAGGCCCTTGGCAGCTCAAGCACAAAGGCAGCCACGCACGCAGCGCCCACCTCTGACGACAGTGCGTCTGGCACATCGAGTTGCCAAGGACACAGACGTCGTTGTTGTCGTTGATAGCAGAAGTGCTGGGGGACATTTGGAAGTGTTCTAGACTCCCCACCAGACCTAGCTAAGGCTCTCAGATATTTTAAGGATGTGTTTTCATTAGCTTAAAGAAAAGTGGCAGGAGAAACACAAAATAAAAGTACATTTTAAAAAAAAAGGAGAGGGAAAAACTTGCTTCAAATGACCCACAGTTACCAAGTCAAACCGAGCTAAAAAGGGAGGCCAAGACACAGCTGCCGGGGCCAGCTCCATCCCTCGGGGTGACAGGTGACAGTCTACAGGGACCCGGCCCCTACTCTTCTGTCCTGGGGGAAAGCCCACACGCACTGGTCTATCTGTGCTCCAGGCTGCGGGGACCAAGCGGGGAGGCCAGGGGACCATGAACCAAGGGTCTGTTCCTCTTCCTTTCATGCTGTGATGCTGTGGAGAACAGAGAAGTCGCATCCCTTACTCTAAAGGCACCACTGTCACCAGACAGCCCTCAGGGTCCAGTGTCCCAATGCCCACCTCCAGGCACATCACATCGGGGCTTCCAACATCGGAACTTGGGGGCACATTGAGCCCATCACAGAAAGGGATCGTGACAATAAATGGAAGTGTTTTCCAAGACTCCGTAAGGAGAACGAATAAAGAAAACGTTAGCCATCAATACGATGAAACAGTATGCAGTCAGAAAAAGGAAAGAAATGCTGACTTCTGCTAAAACATGGATGAAGCTCGAGGACACTGTGTTGAGCAGAATAAGCCAATCCTGAAAGGCTGAGCCTGCATGACTCCACTTCTGTAAGGTTCCCAGGGCAGCCACATGCTCACGCATAGGAGGCACAGAAGAAATGACCAGAGGCTGGAGGAGAGGTAGAAACAGAGAATGGCTGCTGCAGAGAGAGCAACGGAGACAGGAGGGAGGGGTGGATGAAGGGAGTGCATCCCAGGGCAGGACCTTGGGGCCTCAGCTGGTCCCCGCCCCTGTGCTCTGCGTCCTCCCCGGCACCGTCTCAGCCTCAGAGCACACGGCCATCGACGGAATCCTTCCCAACCACGAGCCAGACAGACCAGTCCTCCCCTTAGGTTGTGCCGTCTCGTTCTGTCACAAAGACGAAAAGCTGACTAAGCCAGGGGAGGTGAAAAAGTCGATGTGAATATGGCTTAAAATGGTTAAAATGAGCTGGCTGTGGTGGTGCACACCTGTCATCTCAGTACTCTGCAAGGCTGACGCAGGAAGGTCTCAAGTTCAAGCCCAGCCTGGGCAACTCAGCAAGACTCTGTCTCAAAACAAAAGAAGAAGAAGAAGAAGAGGAGGAGGAAGAGGAGGAGCAGCAGCAACAACAATGACAACAACAAAGTGCTGGATGTAGGTCAGTGTGAAAGCCCCGGGTTCAATCCCCAGTACCTGCCTCCCACACACACAAAAGGTTAAAATGGTAAATTTTATGTTATGCATTTTACCCCAATGTTTTAAATGTAAAAAAGGGGGGTTTTGACATTCAAAGTTTTTTAAAGCCTAACAGTGAACCTCGGGGGCCTGG